TACTCATAAGTAGTCAATCGTGTAGAATTGAAATTTACCCATTCTGGATCTCTGGTAAGCACTGGTTGCTCGCAGATAACCGTAAAGCTTATACTCCATAAAGGTTTACGGGGAACCGACTTATTCTTAATGAAACCTAGTTCCACTAAGGAGAACCAAATCTATCTGACGCATTCAGTATATAACAATCCGCAACCACCAAGAGACGGTTTGATCACCAAACAACAATCCCGCAAGCAATCTGAATAGATTTCATGATTGAAACTTGCTTCGTCGCAAGTTACAGATAAACTGAAGATCATTGCACACCGCAGTGGGATTGTAATGTTAAGTAACGAAACAAAAATGCGTTCCCGGTAAAATTAAAATAACATAGTTTTACTGTCCTCCGATTTCGTTCAATTTTACATTGAAGAAAATCATTTTAAAAACCTTGAAGGATGTCAAAATGCGAGGGTCATTAGAACGCCAGGGAAATCACCAATTTGTAATCTGGGAATCCCGGGTTAGAACAACTCCACCACTGCCAATCTTTTCTATTTCTTTATTTTCCCAGGCAGCCTTTGTATGGCCACAGATCTCCTTCCTGAATGTTCAATGTACATTTGTATATTCGATAAATAAAAATTGGAAGCAAAAAGTCCTTTGTTCATTCACATTGAACTGATGTTCAGTGGAAAACATCCTCAATTATCTTATTCCTCGAAATCATATTTCAGCAAAAATACATAGAGAATTCCACGGTATAAGTTTTTTTTCAATTTCAAGTTAAGCAACTGAAGTCCATTGTCATTTAAATTGAAATCAGTATGACTTCAAATGAAATCGCTAGTTGTTATTAGTGTTTTGACAGCCTTACGTCATCTGTGGAACTGACTCCATTTGGAATGAACTGATTTCCCAACAATCAATTTCACCTTTTTATTAAATATCTCAGTTGGAATGGAAGCTTCGAACCTTTATATCGGATTGAATCAGTAAACACAGCAGTGAATGCTAATATATACCTCAAAAGTTTTCAAACTGAACATGAGTTTGCAGATTGTCGACCTTGCTTGGTGGAATCTGAAACTTCATCCCCATGGATAGAATATCATGTTGTGTTTGTATAAACGGTACCGGCTCGAGATTGTGAATGTGTTCAGATGATTGTGTGGGAAGCACAGATGAACGGTCCAGTGGCAGCGAACCAAGTAGTTTTTCAGTTTCTTTCCCTTGTCTTCTTTCCATATTGATGGAATGGATGAAGGGGACCCAATGCTTCGAAGTTCTAAAACGAAGACTCCCTGCCGCTACCAGCAAGCAGTCGGTGGATCGTTTGCTCATACTGCGGTGCAAATCGATGGTTGAATGAACCCGTGTTCAGTTTTACAAAGATTGTATAAGTTCCGAACAATTTCCACGTGAATTTTTGAAATTGCTCCTGAAGGAAAATCTACAAATGAATGTAATTAACCTATTTCGGACAACCACGCCTCACATTGAAGCTTCATTTGCCTAGATGACCAAATTTATTGAGACCCTATAATGTTTTCCAAAACAACCCTCCAGAAGACAGGGAAAAAACTACTGAAAAACTACTTGGTTCGCTGCCACAGAACTGTTCATTTGTGCTTCCTATACAATCATCGGAACACATTCACAATCTCACATCGGTAACAATTACACAAACACAACATGATATTCCATGGGGATGAGGTTCCAAATACTACATACATTCACAGACTAAAGAATAACAGCATTCAGCGTCGCATGGTTGCATCACTCGTAAATATGTAAATTCGCTAGTTAAAAGATAAGAAGCAGAATGCAACAAGAAATCTCACTTTTCTCCTTCCGGTTACGCTCGTCAGTTCGCTGTCAATCAAGAGGTTTAGCCGAAAATGAATGACCCCAAAGATATTGGATCTCAGTTGTCCGGGTAAAGCCAGTCGTGACAAGATGGAACGATAGACTAACCCTCATGCTGAGGCGTAAATGCGTCGGTGCATGCGCGATCTGATGATAAAGTCAGCGAACCTGCAATGAGACCGTTTTGCTCTCGCTTGCACCGAAACAACGGCATTCAAGTAACAGAAATTTGATTTGATTTAAGTGCTCGAGAGTGAAGTGCTTATCTCGTCATTAAGCTGCCGTTGATTCCCAAACAATGAATTCGTTGGGTGTGGTTACATTTGCTGACATACTTGGACCTTGAAATACACATGAATATTGAGAACAGTTGCTTCTGTCCTCAGTTTGACGTAGCGAGAAAAACTCTCAGAAAAAAGAACGAAATCTCATTGCAATATGGTGAAGCTTAGCAAGTTTAAACATAGGCGTTCCGTTAAAACAAAACTGTTGTCTTATTGGCAGAAAACTTTAAAAAAGGACACTCCGTACAAAACGTGGATCAACTGCCGAATAGAATGTAGGGTTCTGGACAAATCTACAGTATACTATTCAGAACTGGGGATAGATAATGTGTCCAACAGTCAGTATACATGGATATGCCAGATGTGATAAGTATGTACTTCACAAAACTGACTTCTTGAAACCGCTATCCATAACTATTGTGTCTCTTGGAACAGAACCAATCCTCACCTGGTATCAACACTCAGGAATGAGATTCTTGCCTAGTAGTTCCAATGAAGGATAAGATATAGTGACAAAGATGTGTAGCCGTGATTCGGCACCAAGCCTACGAGGTGTGTGACTCTGGTTATCTGAACTAGCTGCAGAAGACGAAGAAAATGTTTAAACATTATTATCATACAGAAAGTCGGTCCGAATGAGGAAGAGAAGTTGAGAGGATTGAAGGTTTAGTTACTGGGACGTGTGTCAAATGATGTGTGAACGAACGCATCAATTAATTTCTCTATACCAATCGAAGAACTGGGAATTATTATTTTTTCTGTCGGCAAAGTAATTTAACTTCACACCACATGTTAACGAGTCCGCGTTCTGGTCTAGATAAAAAGAATCCAGATTTTTGTAATTACTAGACAGAGATGGTAACTTTCCCTTAGTCAATCTACCACCTTCAAAAGCGGGACTTTTTTTATGTGGAAAAGATGTTGACAATGTGGGTCAAGAAGTCAGTTAGACATATCTCATTAGGCAAATGAGGTACGCCGAAGGAAAAAATAGTTTAAGCTCTACTCTACTATCTCGGGAAAGGTAACAAACTCACGGAGCATGACGTGTTGTGTCCATTAGAAGAACTGTTTGGTGAATTTGTGCAGCTCATAGGTCTAACGAGAATCAAGTCATGATCGTTGATGCTCACGGGAAAATATATCTGAATGATCAGTAATGCCGTGATCTGAAGAGAACAACCCTGTGGTTACTGCGGTTAAGGCAGAATAAAAAGGGACAAATTGGGGCCGGTAACATCACAAAAAACAACCGGGAAACTAACTAAGTGTGATAGTGCATTAACTTGTAAGAAGTTCTCGTGAAGAGAGCCAATGCCCAATACGCTACAGTGTGCAGTGATGAATGTATTTGAGACAGCAACACAAGGAGACCGGGAAAGTTTCGAGCAATACACTTTTCTTGAGAATACTTGAAGACTATAATCTGACTTGCCTCACCACTTGAAACTTATGTAGATGATTGCATCGCCCCAGACTACCTTGGCCCAATGTGGTCCATCCTTTCTAAAGCAAACAATCTCATTAACAGAATCCTTCTCCGGGTTCCATTTCCAGTGAATTTACCTCACAAATGAAGATTTCCGACACGGATCTGCAGTTCTTACTGCATTCCATCAGAGAGAGCACTCAGCAAATCAAAATTATTTGAAGAACAATTGATTTAAAAGTAACCGAGGTGAACAATATCGAACGCTTCCGCAACCAACCTTTGTGTAGTTTGCATTGGCAGCATAACGGGAATCACTATGAAAATGGTTTCGAATGTTTGAACTCGATGCATCGGGTGAGTTCTTTATTCTGCAACTATTCTTTTACGTATTTCAACCAAAATCAATTTGCAACTGCGACCTTCCATCTGTTCGGAAGTTATTTCGTCTTAGTTTTAAGAAGAACTTGACAAAAATACTTTGTACACAATCCTGCCGAAGTTTGTTACTTATTATTCGCACAAATGATTAAGATACTTGGGAGATCTAAAAAATAAGCCAATTATATTACTAGTACTTCTGTCTTCATTGTTGATTGTATTGGAGATACTGAAGCAATCACCTGTGTTGTCATCTTTTTTGAATTGCTTGCACCAGCTCCGGCTTCGCTCAGTGAATTGGAGGAAGTGACCATCTGTTTGGGGAACAGTTCCAAATATATGGTCGCTCACACACCCTCACACTCTTTGACTGTAAGCACAGCACAGTCCACCAAAATGAAACGGGGTGGAGTCAGCACTGATACGTCTCGCTGTTCTAGCAATCAAAACGTTTGTTGCACTGGACCCAGCAGATCGATTTCACTGACTAGAATATGTTCGAACGAAAAATATCCCCGAAAGGACAATCGTATGATCACATTGAGTAGCCTTCCGTGCACATGCAGAGTTGGAGCGGGGTTCTTGCTGATCCCTTCACTACTACAGTGGTGATAAATGATGTAATTGTTCATAAATTCAACTGAATATCTACCATCAAACTCGGATGTTTCTCTCCATTCATCAACCGCTTGCATTGTATTCATCTCCTTAAATATTTCCTTTTGCTCGGTATTTGTTAACCGCTCTGAAAATTCATAAATTAAAAGAATTTCTGACACGGGTAACGAGAATAATAAATAGCAAGTTTGATGGTATTGTGTACATGGGAGATGTGTCAAATGCTGCTCCGTGTCCGGCCTCAAGTAATGTACTGACATCTTATAAAAGTAACTCTATTGTTCCTGTCTGTGCTTGTTTGAACAGTTCAGGGATAAATTGTGACCTTGTATCACAGTCGGTTTGGGTTGTTTTCAAAAATGTGTGTTTATATGTGTAGTCCATGTTGAAACTACTGCAACTGCCGCTGTAATGACCACACTATTTCACCTGCTTCATCAGCGTATATGATCCGTACCAGATCGCATCGGATTCAGAGAGTAACCTTGATAATTTAGATTAGATTCTGTACGCATCGAATCGGGAGGCTCGTCAACAGGAGTTGTCTGTATAACCACATTGGACTGATTCGTATTATTGTTTCGAGCATGCTCAGAATATGTCATTTCATTTGTGTTCACCGGCTCCATAAAACCATCTCGCGATCTTTCCTGGCCGAATACACATGGTTCCGATGAGGATGAGTATGCGTCTTGAAATACAGAATGAACATCTGCCGAATGAACTGGATTGCGCGGTGTGGATTGTGACTCGTAGGGATTACTCAAATCTGGTCTTGATCGATAGCGTAAAGCTGTAGCTGAGCACAAAAATGGATCCATTAAAGATGAATGAATGTCCAATGGTGGCAGACCACTTCTTTGTTGCAGTTGATAGCTCAGTCTAACTTGATAGTGGTAATCCAGCATGGATCGAGTGCTGTTCATTGATCCCGGTGACCCAATTGCGTATGGTTGCTCATTGAATGTGCAGTAATCACGTGAGGCCTCATGTACAACACCTTCAAAAGGATTGTACCGCAAAGATTTGTTGGCTAAAACAAAAAGTGGAAAATAACTGGTATTTTTGCATCAAAAAATTTGATTTTTAATTTTTTGGGGCACATATTGATTAAGGGGCATAACTTCAAAATATCCCACTCACACAGTGACTTCGTTTTTGTCGTTCTTCACTATCCAAAGATTTGAAACCAACTAATTTTAATAAATTTAAGCCCTAAATGCGATGGAAATGTTTGTTATAACCAACAAAGAGCACTGGACAGCTGGTTCTTCCATTTTAGGACTCGTCACCAATGCGTACATTTTTATGTCAGGACTCGAACCTTGATTCTTTGGGCTGGGATTTCGAACCCTTACCCTTGAGCTACACGGTCGACCAAAATCATCAATAGTGTTTGATGCCTGTGAAAAACTGAATGGCCTAATCCAAAAATTCACCATCTAAATTTAAGCTTAGTTTCATTAATGCTGTTAGGTTACAAGAAAAATAACATAATCGAAAGTATCATGTGTATGTATACCTATCAGAGGCTAACCAAAATCATTTGAAGACAATAGTAAGGTTACATGCTACTACTAATCCATGAAAAGTAGTATGTAACTGATATCTGTTACTTTGGTGATTAAGTACATTTTGTTCAACTCCTTAGTTTTTAATGCTCCTATCATTGACAAACATTCTCAATTTTCTTACTCCATCTATTTGAAGGATGTACTTTTATTCGATTTACTCAAAAATAATCAGTGGCTGACTAAAAATGGTTAAGGAAGTAAACTTACTACCGAAAGGAAAGTTTCTGTCATTTTCTTCATTTTCTGGACTGAATTGACACGCACCCAATGATCCGGTGATTGGTCTGCTTCCAAATGGTGATCCAAGCGAAAACAGAGAAGAACCAAGATTGTGGTTACCCAACAAGTGATTGGGGCCGTAAACACAGGGTACCAATGACCCACCAAACGAAGGCGCACCTGTGTTCATCTGGCTGTTCGGAGTGTGTTGCTGCTGCTGCAGCTGTTGTTGTTGGTTTTGTTTGTGATGTTGCTGCTGTTGATGTTGCAAAGCCACGGCCAGAGCACTTGCGGAGTTTGCTGAGGCAGCTGCAGCCGCTGCTGCTGCCAATGCGAGACTGTAATCTCGACGCTTCTTCGATTTACGTTTTCTTGTCTGGATGGCATCTTTCCGCATAGATGTTGGTCTTTTTCTCTGAGATTGAGAATGAAAAAAGATTCTGTCAGTGAAAAATGATCAAAACGCGAATAGTCATCTCAGCACCAGTACAGGCTCGCTAAATCAGATATACTTTCCCATATCATCTTTTCGAACTCATATGGAACTTGGCATCATGATAATTTTGAAGCAAGGGATAACCACCCTCATAAGGTATGAGTGGATCAGTACACAGCCAGGAGTACGCTAAAGAATGTTTTACAGAATTTATCATATTACAGTAATATTATTGTGTTCGTGACAACTGAACCTCATGCATTAACAAGCCGAAGTTTGATAACCGGGTATTTTCGGCTTGAATTCTTATTTTATTACCTAAGGAAGCCAATTTCAATTTAGCTTTGGAAATAAGATTTCTTCAGCTACTGCGGAGTGGTGAGTTGTGGTTATTGCTTGTTCCAATATGTGTCGCAGCATCATTAAATTCCAGGGAAACCAGTGGACAGTTTCCCATCCGAGAGCTTAAAAATCGGAAGGGCCAAGACTTGTTGGCATGAACAAATGATCAGTCATGTTACTGCATTGCACTAGAGCAATTAGAATGCCCAGAGGAATTAGGCCCTACTTTATCAAAACCACGTCAAAGTATCAATGTTATCGAATGTCAGAGAGAGAGAGAGATCAGTTTTTTGTCCAGCTTCTTTGCGAATTTTGCTTCATGCAATTATAGCAAAGATAATACTTTCATTGATAACACAGATAACACATTCATTGAATAACGAGCTCCGAACTTTCTGTCATGAAGCTCCGGTCCCATGATGGAAGCCAAAAATATGCAAATGCCTAAACCAAATCTTAATTACTCAATTTTGTACATGGTTCGGGTATTTGGCCCGCAAGAACACCACGTCTTGTATCAAGGGGATGAATTATCAGTATGTATTATTTATCAACTTAGTGATCCAATCATTATATCACCCCGGGTGAATCAAATCCCTGGCACTTGGAGAGGTACGCCACATTGAGCCCCATTAGAGTAAGTATTTAGCCAATTCAGGTGAAAGGGAAACTGTGAACTACGGCAGATACCAGCATGTTTCTGTTGAGCAGAATAAGAAATCACGCCATTATAACTTATTATCAGCCTTTGCTCACTCACTATTGACAAGCTATCGGTAGCTACGTGTACTCTTGAGGTCATAATATAGTAGATTGCATCCATTTGAGTATCCGTGAATGTAATCGAGCGAGAACGGGGCGTTCTTCCCTAAAAGTAACTTCTCTTTCAAAAAATACAACAAAGTGTTTTCATCAAAAATCAATACTTTTCGCTCAAACAGTAGGCTCATTCCTCTCTCCCAACTCACACACCCCCCCCCCCCCCCGCTTCGCAAAACACCCATTATTAATAATACTGGTGGGAAACATAGTTGGCGTTACCTAAATACAGAAACTCATTCTTATTTGGCGTAAACCAGTAGTGCGTTTCTTTCCGGACACCAAACACAGTTTGGTTTCAAACTATGCACGTTTGGTGTTGTGAACCTCAAATTGTTAAACCCTTTGACCTGACTGGATTAGGCCAGAGCAATGTGAAACTTGTTCCAGCGCCCTGAATTTGTACCGGTTTTGATCAGGGCCCAGTTTACCAGTCATACGTGACCCGTTAGTACATTTATACAGTTAGACGTGGTATAAATTGAGCAGATGAATCTTCTTCGAATCAATGAAGAAACGAAAACATTTGGGATACGTTATCACCCAAAGCAGCATTTTATTTAGTATCCTAGGTATTGGTGCATTGGTATTCTTTAATTGCCAACTGATTAGAAAAAAAACCTGGTGAAACAACTTGTTTTGTGTGTCAATACAAGCATCATGGATGCAGACGCAGGGTGTTTCAACTTTTGCACTGGGATGGAACAAGAACTCTGTATCAAACCAAACAATCAACATAATATAGTTATTATGAAAATGCATTGGAAGATTCTGCAAACCACTTTCCGTTCATTGTTGACAGTCTACTGGGGAAATTCAGTTCTTGGGTTCGGTAAGCCCAGATTTATGTGCTATCAAGCTCTCACAACATTGTGTTTTGAAAAGCAACAGAAGTGGATCTGGCATGAAGCTTTTCTTATCTCGTCCTATCGATTCATCAAAAAGCTACCTTCTGAGGTAAGCATGACTATCTGGTTATTTCTTGCTGTATCTGTAGAACTGACTTTTCCCATATCAACTCATAGTACTCGTGAATTTTTATCAAAATAGATTTTAGAATTGATAAAATGGACCACTTTTGCGTAACTGGTGTCCACGCCTCGGGTGGGTGGGGGGGGGGGGGGGGGGGGAGAGGCGAGATCACTTGCCTTCACTACGTGAAAAAACAATGGTAATTATGGAGCAATTGAATGTGGAAGGCACCACTTTTGCATTACAGTAATGACTGAGGTTGAGATGTTTTCCTTGTTCCCGATGTCTTGTTGCACATGGGTTTTCCGTAGAATTGAAAAATGCTCAAAAGCTTGTGAACTAACACCAGATTAACGCATAGTGCACTCGAGTGCTGTCCATTTCTTCCTGTCAGTATTTTTCGGACTGAATGATGTTACCGAGGAAGAAACAATCAAGAGTCCATCGTTCACAATCCACCTGCTTTAACTCTTAGTCAAATCTAACTGCCAGTGATTCTAGTAAGGTTTGTGCGGTTGTTTGGGCACTTGAACTGTCTCTCTGCAGCCGTATTTGAGATCAAACCAACACTGGATGGACTGAGAATTGTGCGCGGAAGTGCTTTCTGAAGAATGATCAGTCCTAATCACAGGAACTTGGTGGCCTAATGTGAATTAAGAATCCAACTTAGTAGGTTTAGTTCGAAATCGAATAAAATAAGATCTGATTTGGTGTGAGTTTTGCGATTTTAGCTAACATACGACATACTGGGTTTCCTTTAATTATAGTCGAGCTACAAGAAATGTGACTATTTCTGAAGACGATGTGTGGGTAAAAAGGAATTTGCAATTGGGGTCGGTCTTGGAATGAACTGCTTGACAAAGTGGTAACACATACATTCTACCTGCAGTTCATGAAGCTAAGGAAATTTTGTATACGCACTACTGATGAGCCCTAAATGAAGCGAAATCCGAGTGCACGATGCTTCCTAGGTGTGTGATTAACTGGATGAACTGAGGCTTGTGTGTGTGTGTGTGTCTGTAAAGATGGAGACTGGAGGATAGGCAATTCAAATCAAACCAACACACAAATCTCAGTGATCGTAATCTTCCTACCGCAACCTGTTTGCCCATCTAAACATCCTCGTTGAATTCACTACCTCATTTCGTGGATTGTGGGTAGTCATAGAGACTAAATCGCTACTATTTAGGGTGCAACCATTTCGGTTGGACGAAATGACCGGGCGCGGGAGGGGGGGTTGAAGCCCATAACTTTTAGACGAGTGAGTGAAGTAGCATCGATGACAGGGATCGTTGTGTCAGTGTGCTGCAGAATAAACAATGTCATCGGTGTGACACCCTGTTGTTCTCGCGGTCTATCGACGTTTTGTTTGTCTCAGAGTGAGTTTCTATATAGTCGGGTTGATAGAAATTGGATGATGATGGTGATGATGTGATGGCGACGGTGGGGATGGTGCTTGTTTTATGCACCGTTCAAACTCCCCCGTGGTGTGTGATGATGACACATAAGGTGGTCCGAGCTAATGCCCTCTGGTTTGCAAGACACAGCTAGGTGTGGGTAGCTGTGTCGCTGGCGGGCAGACGAAAGCATTGTTTAGTCATGCATTCACTTGAACTTGGCAACTTTTGTTGAGAAAGTATATTTAAGAGTTCTGAGAAAACATCTCTTTTTGTCGGTCATACAGCATGCGGTCGATTCTGCACTCATTTTTATTGGTGTTCTGTTTCAACTTTGTCAAAGAGGACAAAGAGAAGAGAAAACTACGAGGCTGGGCAATTGTTTTTGCAACCATTCGACAGACTTCTATCAGCAGCAATCTGGTCTCTTCTTTGTGTGAATGTATTAGGGAATATTATTTATTTCACATTCACATAGTGCACAAATGCTCGTGTGTTCGAACCCCCTGAATAGCCATCACTCGAACCTCCCCCAATCCATTGTTCACAAACAATCTTGAAGGTTGAATACACATAAATAGAAAGGAAATGATGGTTTCCTCCGCGAACTCTCACAGATTTTATGATATAAACAGTGCAAACAATATATAGATCTGAACAATATTTTTCGCTGCACATGTGTAAAAGCAAGAGGTAAAACGACTCTTTTTTTCATTCGGTATTCAGAAAACTGTCCAAAACGTGTGCCTTTTCTATTGATAAATGAAACTGGCGACATTTCACACTCTTTAAAAAAACTTACCCCGTGCAGTTTCTGGTACAGTCCACATGCATTACAGACCGGTTGACCGTCCAGATTTCTTCGCCACAGTGTGGTCTGACTGGTTTCACAATTGGTACACACCAGGCCAACACGTCGCGCCACATTCTACAATCCAGTTTCCATCATCCCCGTGGGCATGAAACGGTATAGAAGAACTGAGTCAACCGTTGAATAAGGCAATTAATCAAGTTGTAGAATAGTGTAAGCTTTTCAGAACCAAATTGCTATTTTATTTCGCAAAATATGGCATAAAACCTGATCTTGCACCGTTATGCCTAGTTATTCAGTTGCCCACTCTTGGAAATTGGAAACAATTATTCCACTTATTTTTATCACTGGCATTCATGTATTTATGGGTTTTGTTTAGACAAACAGCTCCGGATTTCGATTGTTGATGGTTTCTGGAGCTTTTATAGTCAACTTTATCCACCCTGAAGTTTGAAGCCAATGAATTTTGTTAGCACTATCCAGTAATTTTTTTTCTTGACAAACTTGCCGTGAAACAGTTTGGGTTTTAGAATCGTCGTTTAAAAAGTATTTCAAAAACCGTGGGGGACCAGTAACGGTAGAGTTGAATTTGTTTGTTTTCCCCCGGTTCACAGTTTATGACCCCATGGAAAAAAACGGGAGCGGTTTAGATTTACCGAGCACCTCCGATTCCAGTCCTATTTCTGATTCTGTCCGTTACAACAAATTCAAACTCACATCTGCCCTTGAATCGATGTTACTATGTGTTTTCATATTTGACTGAACCTGTGCAGATACAACGAATTCGGTAAATCTCTTAATGATTGTTGTTACTGTCGTCATCGACATCGTCAAAACCTCTGTTTATAAAGAGGGAAGGTACTCCCAAGATGATCAGTGATTTGGATTTCCAGGTTGATCACGTTACAGTTGTGATCAGATCTGTTTGCTTCGCGAATGGATAATTCGGTTTGTAAGCTTCTCTTGAATTTAGAGGCGTTTTCGTTATGTTCGTCCAATGGAATTGGGTAGGTAACCAATATAGTTCTAACATGTCATGACATGGCATCGGACCCTTTTTGAAAATTAATCCTATTACCCCAAAACACAATGTTAGCAAAGAAGCTCTTTTTTGGTGCTACAGCAGCTGGCTAAATACAGCACCATTTTGATAGATTAGGCAGATGATGAAAGGAAACATAAATCCACGAAGGAAATCAGAGTTTAGGAAGAGATGATGTAATTGTAATAAATGGTATGAATGGTGTGGTGCATTAGTATGTATATACATGTATGTGTATGTATGTATGTATGTATGTATGTATGTATGTATGTATGCATGTATGTATGTATGTATGTATGTATGCATGTGGGGAAAGCGAATAAGTGTGCGTGTGTGGGGGGGGTGGTGGTTGTGAAATGGTGAGTGCGCAGATGAAGGAGAGTTTATGAACGAAGTTTAGATTATCAGAATATAAATAGCCGGTTGATGAAGCACCAAAAATCAGCTTTTTTGCTAACATTCTGTTCCTATGACCACTCAATCGAAAGCATTTTCCCATAGTCCTGTATTGTTGACGTAATTTTAATTTGACCCTAATCGAGATAAGTATTCCTTGTTCATACCCTCGCAAAGTGAACAATTTGTTAGACAACGAAGATTGTTGAATTGCAGATTTTCATGCTGCTAACTGTATCATTCAGTTCTGTTGACAATGGAAACTAGCCATCAATGACCGGCATTTAATATTCTAACCGAAAACGGATGCTATACACGAAGTGGTTCCCTACAGCACAATTTGTTTCACCAATTGGGAGATTATGGACACAATGCTTTGGCGGATTTGTAAACCAGGCATGCATATGCACACAGGCATCTATCCACGTAAAATACACACTCACGCACGCACACACATACAGTGCCCGGAAAAGCAGTTGGTGAAATTGTGGACATGTCAACCTGTCATCAGAATACTTTGGGAACAGGGTGGATGGATTGACCCTGGGGGCAAATCCCACCTTGATGATGAGGATGATGAGAATGAGGATGACGACGAAGCTCTCATATAAACAAAGACAAAAGTTAGTTCCAGAAAGAAAGAAGATGAATTGGTAAGTAAGCACACTTTGATGCGCAAGCACACACACATATGCATAAGTACAAACAAACACGCACACAATATGAGGTTCAATTCCATCGTTTCGAGTTGTTATTGCAGGTTTCTAAGGTTTGGTTGGTTCGTTTAAATCTGGCTGCAACATAAACTCCATTTCACTGGTATTATTTCCCATCTTATTGTCTATTGGTTCGTGGAAGTGGATGGATGATTATAGTGTCCACGGTCGGGCACATGTTAGTTAAGGGTGGTGATGGTGAGACGAAATTTGCATTTTATGTCAGATCACTACCGCCACCCTTTCGAACTGGTGACAACTGGTAAAACATAGCGGTGGTTAAGTTCTACCCTACCCTACTCGTGCTTGTGCATTGCTTCTAGTAGTGAATGTAAAGGTTGCACTGTTTAGCAAACTATCCCGGGGAAGGGGTTGGTGTATCCGAGTCTGGTAGTCAACGTGACTCGTTGAAACCAGTAGGGCCTGAATGAACAAAGCTTATGGATGAAGTTGTGCGCGTGAGTGCGTGCATGCTTATGTTCATGTCTGCAAGTCTGTGTGGCAGTGTAGGCCGTCGGCAAGCTGGCTGGCTGACTGGCTGGCACAAGGATATAGAAGCTCCTGCCGAAGCTTATTTTGTTTCTGACCAGTTTATGGTCAATTTTGTTTAGGTCTAAATTTCTTTCCCATCAACACGTGCTTGCAAGGTGGACACGACCATAACTTACTAATCCCCTCCTCCCTCCTTGGCTTCCACCCTCNCACCCCTCGCACACGTACAGACACAGGCGTCAATTTCCAACCTATTCGACTTAACGCATAATCATCATGATCGTGAACTGTTCACTGATGTCCCCTTTTCCTGTCTTCTTCAAGTTTGCGGCGAATTCGCTAAAGACAGAGAGCCTCTACGGACCGCACTGCAAACCGGCCCACAAACGGAATGACCAAATAAATAATCAATTAGTTCTAGCGACAACAGCCAGTCAATCAATAGAGGACATGTCTTTCTTGCGACAATTTTTACCCACAAAAATGCTTGACTTGAAGCACACGGTTTGCTTCGAGGTGAACTTATAGACTGAGAATTAGTGCAAGCATTCCAAGTTTTCGGTGCAACACCCCAATAAACGTTTATTGAATACCAAATCAGCAGACTATGTTGTTCAGCTATCTGACAGAGGAGGTCAAATTTGAGGTGTCCAGTTCAGTATCTGTATCTGAGAAAAAATATATGACCACAGTAAATGTTTTATGGAGGAGCAGGTGGAACAATAAACACAAACACTGAGTTAAGGGGAAAATGCCAATGGTGGGAGTTCTCCAAGAATACAGCTGATGGGGATGAAGTGGGAGGTGCACAAAAGCCAACGCAACAGTTCCGTTTTGATGGATGTTGGTTTGTAAATTAGATTGTTCCGATTGACAACATTCATTTTAACGTTTTTTCTCTGTTATTACTGCCACACTTAATGTTGTATCTGTATACCGTTGGTCTGAGCTGTAATCAGCTACACAACTTACTGAGACCTGATTTGCAATCCGACTGCAATTACCTAAAAGTGAACAGTCACCAGCACCTGTTCACCGTTCGGGGATGGGAACTGATAGTCTGAGCCATGGGTCTCAGACTGAAAAAACCCTTTAGGGATAGGGTCAATCTGTAGCTGGGTGACTTCAAAGTTGCCAACTCCAAATGGGTTGGCGGTAATGAGCTTCGACCGGTGCTCGCTTGTCATGTGCACTGTGAGCTGCTTGACCACCTGTACTGTACTAATAGTTGTAATTTCTCTCTTATTCCGCAACGCATTCTAATGCGTGCTAACATTGGATACGGATACAGTTACGTTGGTATGACTCAAATACCTCTAAGTGGTTAAATGACTACTGAGTATTTATCNNNNTCCATCCATCCATCCATCCATCCATCCATCCATCCATCCATCCATCCATCCATCCATCCATCCATCCATCCATCCATCCATCCATCCATCGAACTGCATAAAGCGATTACTTGGATTGAATGTAATGAGTAGTTCTATATAATTTACCGTCATTAACTACGTAAATGAACTTAGAAGCTGAGCTTCACTTGTATTGTCTGATCGAATCACAGAACAGGGAACTGATGGTATCATGAAAGCGAATAGCTCTCACGGCTCATGATGAACCCTCGCTAAAAGCTGTCACTAGCACTGGCCATTATTTTAGTTAGTGTATCACTAGGAACATATACTCCTTGTCTTACAAAAAGGTATTTTTCTTACCCGATTGTTCATTTCTCCGCATACTTTTCCAAGTAGTGCATTTTCACCTCAGGCCGCGTAATGGATAATAACTCGCTCTCATCGGTTAGTCTTCCGATTTAGCTCGAAAGTATCGTTCGACCCGGTGTTTTAGCCATTTGCTTTTGTTGCCTCGTTAAACGCCTTCAGAGAATTACAGTCAAACCGTTCCAAAGCACAGTGATTCATGAGTTCTTCCGAACTGCAAATGATAAGCTCAGGGGATGCTCCGATATTACATTTATCAGTGATTTTCAGTCACCTTTCGGAGTTAGGTAATTCACTTGAAAGGAGCTGAACACCTAGCTGGATGGTGGCGGCGTAGTGGTTTAGTCGGTGTCACCAGGGCGATTTGGATCCTATTGTCCAAGGTTTAAGCCCCATCACCGCCACCCAACTTTGGTGATAGGCAGCTTTACTGCCGTTCGGTTCAATACCGCGCCTAAACTAGTGGAGCCTTATGTGGTTCACCTCTACAAATACCTTGGCTTAGGTTACCGGTTTTCATTAATGAACAGCAGGTCCTCGTGACTATGTTTCTCACACCAAATTGTATAATAAAAAGCTCTCCAACACTAGGTACAAAGTCAACCAACGTTATATATTATTTATTATTCATTTTGATACCTTTCTATTGAAAATCCCTAAATGCTTGTGTCCATTCTTTTGGGAGTCTTTTGATGAAAATCTTGAATAAATAAATCGCACTTGGTCTGAAAAATTTGATCATCTATCACTGATAATTGTTCGCCAAAATTAAATACCCAAGGTCAGTTATGATTTCGCATGGATCAGAGCCGATTAACTATCAAGAAGAACAACTTTTCTTTTGGAGACATTTTCCCTGTAAAAGTCCATACAAGAAACAAACATGAAGCATGTCCCAGACCAGTGTGACTCACCGTTTTACGATTCACCATTATTTTACTCTGATTCATCCTCATGGTACGTTCACCAGTATCGGTTGAATAAAACCCATTAGCTCGGGCAAGATCTTCCTTTGAGGGAGTCAAACAAGTGTTCGGTCCCGAATGGAGCTTCGAAATACCGGTCACATCTTGATAATAGTCCATTTCACTGCATCCCGCTAACCCAGTTCCATTCGATTCGGAAACTTGTGATCGTGCTTGCCGATCGGGGCTAGACATGGACGGAGAGTTCTGTTCAATCGTGATCGGCGATGTGGCTGAGTATGTGGCGGGAACGGTTCGCCTGTCTCCAACACAATCTTCACACAGAAAGTGACCGGTACCGTCCGGTTGCCACACCGATGTTGCCGGTTTCCCACATTTGACACATTCTCTTTCATTTGGGGATACATATCGGTCGAATGTATGACAGGATTCTGTCAGATTACCGTGCGAGGGAAAAAGACTGTTATTGGTTCTGAGATGAGACACAGCATAAAGTTAAGCATAGATCTCAGATTTCTATACCGTACACACACACAGGTTTGCCCATTTACGTCACCGGAGTTTGGAATTCTTTTTCTGCTGCCCACTTCAAGAGTGATAACTGTTCAACTCAGTGTGACCTCTTGTTTCGTTTTCAATTGTGGTGGTTTTGAGATTCACTCTTTTTTTCTCGGCTAACAAGTTAACTATCGACCAAAGTCTAAATCCAATGGTATCAAAAATCGAGCGATCTCATAAGCATTATGGACCAAGAAACCTTACTAATAAGAAAGTAGTAAAAATAATCACAATGGCACGATGACTGAATGCGTACAATTCATACGATCGAAACTTCCATTCAAGTCAAATTGCGGAACACACCAAATGTTTGAATCAGAAGAAATAATGTTGGAGAGCATAGTTTTGCGATGAACTCACTCTCCGGTCTATACGAACACACTTTTATGGGAAACTACATTCATTAAGGTCAGAAAGAAGGTGGGTGAGTAATGCGTTTCCCGTTAAGTTCGAATCTGTCGAGATCGGTGCAATGTTCAGATTACGTAATCAGAACTGTTAGTAGCTTTGCATACATCGGTAAAAGAAGGATTTTTGTTCCGGGATGCCTGATGTAAAGTACACAGAGTATGGATAGAACATTTTGGAAAATATTGTCTACATGTTCTTATTGACAAAAATACTTTCGCTTGCATTTTGTTTTAATACTAACAGTCAGGAGGATGGTCTTTATCTTTTTCCAAAATGGATATAGCAAGAAAAGTACTATGGTACCAATTAGCATGTACATGTGTTGAAGCTTAAAGGTGCACATGCATACACACACACGGACACACCAAGCACTTGTTAAAGACAGTGGCCAGCGATTAGGAATAGCAAATTTTGTTTCCACCATCAGAGCTTATTACTTATTTAGTGTATCTCTAGGTCAATCTTCCAGTGTGTAAGTTGGAATCAAAAGCCACTAGACCGTTAGACCGGTCGACTTACTGTGATCTGGTGATCTGTCTAAACCCGAACAAAGACGGGGGGTGAAGCAGTTGGATGATTCACAACTATATCACAATTAATCGACGCCGCACTCGTCATTGAAAAGCTTTGAAACGACCGCATTACTGTTTGGTATGACATGTTGATAGTATGTATCCAATGCGCCCGGTACGATTCGATTGTGTGCACGAGGGGTTTTGTGACCTGGCACGCAATTCACTTGAATTATTGCAACACACATTAACAACATACTCTTTGATGTCATTAGGGTCCCAATGAGAAAATAAACAGATTTGCGCACCTGTTGGGTATACAATTTATTTATGTGATCGGCTCACCGAGAGGGTCGATCTAATGAATAGCTTTGGTGTAGACTACAAGCCAGATAGTTCATTTGATAAAGTGCTACCTTTGGATCAGAAATAGATAGACTCAAACAAACAGTTCGTATAGCTGTATGAAACAGTCCTTTGATTTTGGTTAGTACGAATTGCGGATCGATGTGCACTTGGCCGGACATTTTCCGAATTGGAAATTTTGTCAGTAGTAGGAACCTATTCCGAAGGACAAAACTTGTTTGGGTGCTATTGACACTAGTTCACTGTACTTGAGTAATTAACGACGCATTTACCACATGCAAAAGTAATACCTTTTGCAATATCAGTACACAAAATGAGAAAGTAAATGTCTAGTGAGGACTATAGACATCACAACAACAGCCAGTATGAATCCCCAATTTAACTGGTGTCGTTAGCACTTCTCTGAACATCCTCAATGACCTCAACTTTTGCACAATTCATGCTGTAAATCACCGAATCCGGCCAATCTGTTTGACAAAGTTAGCCTAATTACGTAAGGTGGAAAAAATTGTTTAACCAGTTGCAAATCAATGACAGCATACCCTTGATGGTTCAGGTGGGTAGCGGACCGGATAAATGAGATTTGTGTCCATGTGCAAAGACCCATGCCCTCCGAGATAGATGGATAGAACAACCGTTTAGTGTTTCCACAGCTATTCAACCTGTGACTCACATTTAAAGGTGCGAGACAAGTTCGCATTTCCCGATCGATATTCCAAATATGAATCAGCCAATTTAAAGATTAACAAAACAGCTACAACACAGTGTGTGTGTGGACCCCCTCTCTCGTAGTTTTGATGGACCGGTGAATAAATTATTATTCGATAGCTTCTAGTATAGTACATCTTAAAATTTAAGTGCTTTATGTATTCGTTTTATTGAATATTCACACACACACACACACACATACACTGTGTTGACACAGTCATTCAATCTCTCACTTTCTAAAACTGTGAATAAGGTTCCTCCTAGGTGCCAATGGTTGAGTTGACTCTAACTGCATGACGAATGGTAAATCTTAAATGTGGCTAATGTGATAAATAGGAACACTCTTCCAAAAACCTAAAAATGGAACCCGGGACAAATAAAATTCTATTTCGCCTGTTCATCGAGCTTGGCGGTTTGTTTGCAAACGTTTCATCATCAGCCGAGGTGACAACATCAGTGCTTGAGAAGTGGCCATTTCACAAGCACTGATTTTGTCACCTCGACTGGTGATGAAACGTTTGCTAACAAACTGTCAAGCTCGGCGAATAGGCGAAATAGAATTCAGTTCACCCGAGCCACGAGAACCGATTTTCATTACTTT